TAAATGTAACATACTTATGAAATAACTCATAACTTTATAAATTACAGAGTAGCTAAAATTATAACAATAAATGTTTTATTCTAGCCTTATCGGCCCAAGAGTAGAACTTGGTTTACAATTTATGACCTTACTCACACATTCTTTCATACCATGCCACCCTTCGCACATTTCTAGTAACTTATAAGTAAATATTAACTCATGACTATATAACATCAATAGAAATACAAGAATTACAAATACCAATAAACATTATGAGAGTACAACTAGTAACAACGAAGTTGAGCCAGCTACGTGCATGTATTAGTTTCTTATTAATATGTAGGAGAGAACATGGAACGTTTAAACACTGGTTGGAGGATTACGATGAATTAGCAAGAGAAGAACGTGTGATTAGGGAAGTATTAGACGGAAACAGGGACGAGCAAAATTTCGCAATTCTCCATCCAGTGTTTAAACGTTCCATGTTCTCTCCAGGGTTGAGATATTTTTACCCACGACGCTCGCTTCCCCTGTTTTTCGCCCGTATTTCGATCCCCACTACTATTCCCCTCATGCGCTTTCGCTGACCATGCCTAGCATACCCCCATCAAGTACCAGACCCCACTATGATCGCGTCGTCCCCACTTTCCGGCCGTGGGTAAAAATATCTCAACCCTGGTTCTTTCCTACATATTTTACTCATCCTTTTATCCTCCTCTAGCCAGTATCTATTATACGACTCAACATTGCCCCATCTCGCCCTCGCTATCAGTTTAATAATATTGTTCCTAGCCTCTTTTACGAGATATTCTGGTACTGTGTAGCAGACAACGTACTTATACATCTCATTATACCTTGCCCCTTCAATCTTAATTGATCGTTCTTGACCTTGCACCTCCCTATCTCTGTCAGTCAAAACCGTTATTGTGTCTTCTCCACTGTTTCTTCTTTCCTCTATTCCTTCCTGACTCCATCCGTTTTTTTTTAAATATTCTATCCTTTCTACCCCACTTCTTGTCTCCTCAGGTTTTTCCACCTTTCGTTTTAGGCTCACTTTCACTATCCTGCTACCTTCTTCCTTCCTGATTTTTTCCTCCATCTTTAACAATCTTCTTCCTGTCTCTATTGTAATAGCATTTCTATTGGTTTCCTGCAACACGACGTACGCTGGCGTACTTCTGTCCAGTCCTAAACACTATTTAATATATTTCGTTTGTACCGCTTCTATTTCTTTCCTCTCCAGCCATCCAAACAGTTCAACTCCATAGAGCAAAATTGGTTTTACAAGAGAATCAAATAAAAACATCCTTTTCTTAAAACAATCTTTAAAAACTCTCTCGCCTATGCTCCATATCTGACCTAGCACCGCATTTGTTTTCTTGATTCTCTCCTTAATATGCCCCTTTATGTCTCCATCGTTTCCTCTTCCCTTCCCAAACACTAACATTTTGGATTTCTTTATATTTAATATCAGTCCCTTCCTGTCTAAATACTTTTCCAATATCCTGAACATTTCCTTCATATCTTCCTCCTTCTTAGCAATTATCACAATGTCGTCCGCATACGACAACGAACACATAGTCTTATTACCTATATTTACACCTCCCCATCCTGTCTTATTCATCTCCTTCTCCATGTCTGCTAGAAATATTATAAATAGCGTAGGGTTTAGAATACACCCCTACCTTACGCCTTCTTCTGTCCAAAATTCCTCTGTCATCCCCTTCTGCAGTCTTATTGTGTTTCTTGTCTCTTCGTATATTTCTTTTGTACGCTCTATCAATCCCTTCCTTACTCCTCTTTGTCTTATGGCTTCCCAGTCCTTCCTTTTATCTACTTTATCAAAGGCAGACTTCAGGTTGATGAAAAAGGCAAAAATCTTACCTCCTTTCTTTTTAAGTTCTTTTTCCACGACGTGCTGTAATACATAGACATTATCTATTGTCATCTATTATCATAATCCTGTTTGCGTATCATCCAAATTCTCTTTATCTGTAATCTCTTTCTCCTTTTCCACCTCTTCTACCTTTCCCTTCTCCCCATATATTCTCTCTCTCTCTTGATCCACTTAATTGCTTCATGAAGTATTCCAGCCATTCTTCGTCCTTGATCTCTGATCCTATCATCTTTTTCTTCTTCCTTTGTTTATTCTGTTTTTTATTATTTTATTATCTGTTTCCTTTGTATATTATGTTACTTCTTCGAGTTCCTTTTCCTTTTTCTTCTCTATCTTCTTAAGTTTTAATTGTCTCAACTCCTTCATCTTCATAAAATCTTCTTTTGTACTTTTACCCCTTTTCCACTTTCCTAACGTTCTTCTCGCTTTTCTCTTTAATCTGGTCCATTCCTTGTCCCACCACTTAGAACTCCCTATCTTATTCTTCTGCCACTTTCTTCCCTTCTTGATCATGCTTTCTTTAATACAGCTTTGTAGATCCTCCTGTTCTTCATCCACTGTTCCCTGTCTATACTCATGTTCCCCACATCTCTTCCTATATTCTTTTATACTCTTCTCATCCGACTCAATATGTTCCATTGTGCCTTCATTCTGTTCTAGTTCTCCACTTTGCTCATTTCCTATATCCACCTCTACTGGCAAATGATCAGACTGTACTCTCTGAGCAATTACTTACAAAAACTTACCTCTAGCAATACCTTTGTATTTACTATTACATAGTCAATTACCGACGTCGTTTGTCTGCCCACATACGTAAACTCTTCTTCTTCGTCTCCTGTAATATTACCATTTAATATATGCCAGGCTCTATTTTCGCACATTTCTAATAAAACTCTTCCCTTACGATTTATGGTTTTGTCCTTAGACTTTCTTCTCCCCCTCCTCTTCTTTTGTCCATCCGGTACCCAAGGACCCTTCTGTTCCTACCAGGGATCTCATAATTTATCCCGCACGGCTCGCTTCCCCTCTTTTTCGCCCGTATTTCGATCCCAAATACTATTCTCCTCATGCGCCTTCGCTGACCATGCCTAGCATACCCCCATCAAGTACCAGTCCCTACCATGGTCGCGTCGCCCCCACTTTCCGGCCGAGGGATAAGTTATGAGAACCCTGGTTCCTACCCTGGCATTCATATCACCTCCAATAATTATGCATTCCTCTTCTTTTTCTGCTATCCCCCTCTTTAACTGACTTACTACGTTCTTCATACCCTCCCCATTATACAGGGTGTCCTAGAACTAGTATTAGGGGAGGAGCCAAGGTGATTTTAAACAACTTTTTCCGTTGCAAAAAAGTTGTCGGAGGCGTGGTTGTCGAGTTATTAACAAAAATTACCGACCAACCAGAGCGTTCGTATATAAGGCGGGCAGGAGCACGATAACCGCCTCGTGCGTTGCCGCGGCCCGTATGCCACGCTCGTGACGAAAATATAGGATTAAAACAAAAGTTACATGCAAGAGCAACTAAGAAATTGTTTAAATATTACAGAAAACAAAGCAATTAATCGTTAGTTACGTTCGCTCAATAAATGTAACATACTCAATGAAATAACTAATAACTTTATAAATTACAGAGTAGCTAGAATTATAAAAAAATGGGAAGAGAATTAGAGTTTCACATGATCGTTCGTCTTTAATTTCACCTGCTCCTAGAAGAATGTCACTGGGTCAATGTGCCGAACCCCGGTACTTGAAGATAAAACACATGAGCAGCAATGATGTTCAGAGCAGGTCGCTGATAAAAATGGCCAGATGTTTTAGTTTCGAATGCCAGTCTTCGGCACATTGACCCACTGAAATTCTTCTAGGAGCAGGTGAACTTAAAGACGAATGACTAAGTTCAACTCTAATTCTTTTCCCATTTTTTATGCTTTACCTAATGTGTAATTTATAAAGTTGTTAGTTATATCATTGAATATGTTGCATCTATTCAGTAAACATAACTAACGACTAATTGCTTTTTTTTCTCTCATTCGAAACTTACGAACGGGTGCTATTTTTTCAACCCCTGAAAAATCAAGGGTTCTGTACATTGTCTACAAGTGTACAGTTTGACATCGAACCCACGTTTTCCAAAACCAACCTTAGCGTGCATTGCGCCAGAGGGGAATCGAGCCAATTTTGCTAGTGGAAGGGGTAGGTTGGGTCCTTTTCCCGGCAAACCTGCGTACGAAACGTGCAAGTGAATTTCGTATTACAGTGCTACATTTTTTGTGCTACAATGTTTATTAAGTTTCCATCATCATTTTCTCTTTTGACTGCATGTTTTGTTATTGTTATTGATTGCATGTTTTGTTATCCACATTTCCGGTTTCTTGGAATTTTTTTATAATATTTGTAAAGACAGAAAGTGCAAAGGTCTATTATGACCGGGAAATCTTTCACCATACACATGCACCCCTTTCCTTATAATTCTATGATATTCACCATAAATAATAATAATTTCTACTTTCTCTGTTATCGTGTAACGTAACTGAACACTTATATTGAATATTATGGAGCCACACTCTAGTCGATAGACGAACTACCAATAACATTCGAAGATACGGATAACTGTACAGTGTGATTGAATATTTGTTTATATTCTGTGATACTTATTAGTAATTACAAGAGCAGTATGCCAACAATTAATGAAGATACAAAAGTATTTGCGGAGTGCTTTTTATCTTCTATTGCAGTTGACCTTAAGTGACCTCGAGTGACCTTAAATGACCTTCGTAATAGGTTATTGTATTCGTCTTGAAACACTATTCCAGATCGTAAATAAAAAGCCATACCATTCCTTTTAAAAAGACAGTTGATTTTCATATCTCCTTGGCGGCTCCACTTATAGAAAAATGAATAACATCAGACTATGAGTCCCTCAATAAAAAGCAAGTTTGGTTTAATGCATTTTTCACTATCTTAATGAACAAGCAAGTTATTCAGGTGACCTGTTTTAAATGCCTCACATACAATATGTATGTACAAACACACACACGCGCGCGCGCGTATAAACCTACATAAATTAATACATGTATACTCTTTACTATACATATTATAAATTTTTTCAATTCTTTTTTCAGAATGGAAGCAAGAGTCGTTAAATTGGGCAAATTAAAAGAGAGGAGACGGACGTGATGGGGAGGTTAAAATGATCGGTCATTGTGTTGCGTTGGTGTTGCTGATCCTAATCATAATGATTGGTGATCTGAGCTCGGTGACGATCGTCGATCACCATCCAGACGAAGAATACTATTTGGAGCATGAGGTCAGTTACGACGAAGCCATTCGCCACGCGAAAGACATGCAAATTTACCCTGGTAAGTAACTCATAATAATTATTAATTCGAGTTCGACAAAATGCAAAAAATTTCCTTGAACATAAAAACTGACTGATATAATAATTTCTAACATTTATTCTATAATTATCATTATACTTAATGTAAGAAATTTTCTTGACTACAATAATTGATTATCATGATAATTTGTTAGATAATTCTATAATTAGCATTAATAATTAAAGCAAGAAATATCCTTGAATACGAAGGTTAACAGAACTAAGGTAATTTCTTCAATTCAAGAATTGCCAAGTAATAAATATACTAATTTCTTATATACACAATAAACTAATAGCAGAAGTGTTGCTTAATATTTTATTAGTGTACATTAGTAATTAAATGAATTCAGAAATTAATAATTTATTACTTAGTTCATGAATTAATGAATGAATGAGTCAATGAATTTTGTTTCATATTTATTTACGTATTTTCATTTATTATTATCGTCAATTAATAAATTATTAACTTATTGTTATTAATACAAGAATTGAAAATAATTAATTTAATAATTCATGCTATAAGTGATTTAATAATTCATGCAATAATTGACTTAATAATTCATGCAACAATTCATGAAAAAATTGTTTTAATAATTTATTTTAATAATCCGTACATTGATTTAATAATTGATTTGATAATTGTGATTACTAGTTTAGAAATTATATTATTCAATAATTAATATAAGACGAATTGATAATAGGACGCTGGTTTTGTACCTTGTCCAATAAAAATATCACTGAATACCACTAAAATCGTCAGAAACTGTGTCAGAGTTCATTTTCTAACAAAACGGTGGAAAGTATGTAACATTCGGCCGGATACATCCCATAAACCATGAATTTATTTACCTTTCGTTCTGCCAAGAATAACTCTCCCTCTTTCTCTCCTCCTCCTACTGCTCACCTTTGATCCGGTGTTTAATCTTTATTTAACTTTAAGCAGACACTCGCATAGTACATACGTCTGTAGTACATCTGAAAAATTCTATAACCATCGAATCGTCGATTGAAAGTGTGATAGTTATGTTGAATTCGGTATTCTTATTTATATATTAAACTTCATATTCCAATAACTACGAGCACCGTTAATTCTATCCTGTAACTCTTTTGCACAATAGAAATCCTGCACAACACCAGTAGAAAAATTATGTAAAATTCAGTAGGTCTGAGGAATTATGCATGTAATTATGCATGTGGACATTGGAATAAGTGGAATTCGCGTTGACAATAATTACTGAATAATCTCTCTTCTCCTCCTCCTCCGGCTTCGCAAGGTTCTTAGCTTTTGCGCAACCAATGACAATGAGTTTCAAAAACGTGTTACAGAGCTATAATAACTGCGATTATACAAACAGCTCTGTTCTATTTAATTTGATATTAGAAACAGGAATTCCTGCGATATTTATTTATAGAAGATAATATTTTCTTATTTTTCTATTTAAACTATTTATTGAATTTTATTGCTTTTTTTTCCTATTTCTAATAGAAATTTTTTATTTTTCTATTTGTAACAGGAATTTTTTCAATTTTTATATTTATAATAATTTTTTTTACTTTTTTATTTAAACGCTTAAACCTTTTTTCTGAGTAATAGAAATTTTTATTTTTCTATTATAAATATTTGCCATTATAAATTCAATTTACTAAATTCTATTTAAAATTTATTCATAATAGAAAACAAAAGATTTTTTAATTTATTCATAATTGCATTAAGGCTGGCCATCTATCACAATCTTTGTTTGAATATTCATACACGCGCTTAAACTCTATGCATATATGTAGTTGTTTACTTATGTATTTATTGATCTTTCTCATTTAGGAAGAAAGTTCTCGGTAGTTCTCATTAAGGAAGAAAGCTTCATACCTGCCCTTATGAAATTTACTATTCCCCATATGTCCTTTTCCTTCTTCGTGAATAGTATTTCTAAACCCCTTATCATTCAATATTTTTGGTCTAAGTGCTGCATATTATTAAACATGTTACTTGTATATGTTCTATGGTTTCCATTTCGTTCGTATTGCACAGTCTGCGCAAATAATTTACTTCAATTTATATTTCATTTCCTTTCTTGATGTTATTATCCATCTTAATTTCCCTGCTAATCTTGCTTGTACTATGGTTCTCTAATTGATATAGGTGTATTGAAATTTAGATACATGGATTTTCCATCCTATTTATCTCTTTAACATTTTCATATATGCTACTATATGTTGAATTGATTATTCTATTATTATCTTCTCTTAACTATCTATATATTTTTTCTAATATCTCTTGTACATCTTGTCCAGTCTTCATGTCCTCGCATGCATACTTGTGCAATATGCTTTTTATTTGTGTCATCCAATTTTTCTTCTTGTTAGGTTCTTTTTAGTCCAATAGTCTTAACTGTTCATAGCACTTCTTTGAAAAGCTGTCCCCTCTCAATTTATTAAGTCATATCCGGTATTTTAACGATCTTTTAATTATCTTTAATTCTAAGTTCTGTTCATCTGTGAACATATTATATAACCAGATGTGGTTATAGGAACGGTAAGTAACTCTTTTAAGAATTCATTTTGTATTTTTTCTATAATTTTCACATGGTAAGCCCCATATCCTACTGCCAGATAGCAACATTGTTTGTTCTATTGAATCCAGTAATCATTCTGCCGCCTACCACCCATTTGCTCTTGTGATTATGAAAAATTTCCATATTGTGTTCTTTGCTGTTTTTCCTGTAAACATGAAGTGTTCTGCTGCTTTAGAAAAGTTGCCTACTTGTGTGAACGGTACCCCAAGGCATTTATATTCTTTCACTCTTTCTATTTCGATGTCTTCACATGTACATTTTCTTATTTTTGTTTCGATTCTTTTCCTTATATATCATGATTTTGATTTTATTCGTGTTTACTTCTTATTTATTTCTTTTACACTATTTTATTTAGTAATATGTCTAATTTTTCTTGCATGTCAATTATGCTATTTTCTGTACTTGTTAGATCGTCCGCAAACAAAAGCATCTCCATTTTTTCAATAATTCTTTTACGTTCCTCTTTATAGAAATATTTTGCTACGTCATAAAACAATAAAAAAAAGATCGTTGGATTCGTACTATCTCCTTGTATTATTCCTGTTGATACGCGTATAAAGTCTGTCCATTCTGCATGATTAACTTTTATTTGTGTAAAAGCATTATACTATATATTAATTAGCACTCTTATTATTTGTGAACTTATTCCTATGTGATGTAATTTTTCCCTTAGTGTTCCATGCCAGAATGAATCGAATGCTTTTTTAAAAACAAATAGTATGTTACGTCCTGAATTGTCCTTGCCTGTATTTAAAGTGCTTAAGCACACCTTGACCTAACTATCTATCTTAAGGGAATAGGTATTGGATATGAAAGGATTGACACGAGATTTCTATAACAATTTATATTCTTTAATATTTAATACTCAGTTACATACTAAATGCCGCTTAGCCCAGCCTAATCAGCGGTTCGTATGTCAGTGTCCTTTATGCTGACACTAGTCACTTCCCGTTACAAAGTATTTATTTCTATACTTGACTTCTCGAGTTCCCAGCAGTTTCTAGGCAATGCGTTCGTCCCTCGGGTAAGCCGTTTAAGAATCTTTTGATTCAGGGAATCAACTGAACGATGCTTTAAAACCGATAAGGACTCGGACAGAGTCGCGGGTTAGGAATCGAAAATCTGAACTGACGTACAGGCCCCGATGGCCAAGCTTTATAACCGAAAAGCTAAAAAGTCAGCAGCCTATTTTCCTTTAATCATTTCGACATGTCCTGATCTTCGTATGTATCTCGAAATGTCTTAATTATGTCGAAACGCTTAGTCGTCATTTCGACATGCTCTGCATTTCGAGCGCATCTCAAACCAATGACCTGAAGTGTCGAAATGATTAGTCGCCACATTTCGATACTTGCTGACTGTTACCAAGCGCGTATTACGAAAGCGACAAATGGAATCTAACCCTTTCACAGGGCTATAACAAGTATATATTTTTTCCTGTTCGGTTTTGCCAATGCTTCTATCTTCGTTTGTAGGATAAATATATTGTCCTTGCAGCATTTGTTTTTCGTGAATCCTGCCTACCCTCCGGAAGTATCCTGAAACTCATTCCAGGTGTTTATTCTATTTGCTAGTATCGCTGTAAAGATTTTTATAATTGTGTTAGCCAATGTAATTCCTCTATAATTTCCTGGGTCCATTTTATTTTCTTTTTTAATATATCATAATGGTGTTGGTAAACATTTGAAAAATTTATTGCTGATTCCATTTGGCCCTGGGGACTTGCCTACTTTCAATTTTTTCAGAATACTTTCATGTTCAGAGAAATCTATTGCCTGGTGCAAATAGGGATGTTTCACATCTATGGTACAAAATTGTTTCCTTGTGTCTATTTTATAATTTTCTTTGTAGAATTTTTCCCATTCTGTTTTGTTCCCATTTTGCGCTTTTTGTGGTAGCCTGATGTTCTTTCCTCTTCCTTATATAATTCTTTTTTTTTTACAATCTCCTTTGTTTTTGTTTCTGTGTTCCTTAGCTATTTCTTTTAATGCTTTTCTAGTTTTGTAGCATTTCTCATTGTACTAAGGTTAACTGATTTAATCAGGTTAGGTTAGGTTAGGTTGCTAATTTTTCTCCACTTATTGTTTTATACTTTACCATATCTAACGTAGAGCTGTAACTTTTATTTTATTTATTATCTTCAATCCTTTCCTTTTGTAGCTTCCGTGTTATTTTTAAGCTTATTTTTATTGGCAGGTGATCCGAGGTGCCCATATCATGTCGATCACACTCGATCCTTTCGTGTCTACGTATTTATTTGTCCAATTTATTCCTGCTATTTAGTGTTATCATACCTGCTCCATTCATAATTTCGCATAATGTTCTTTCTGATTTGTTTGTTATCTCATCATTTGTTTTCTTAATATGAGAGTATTCGGTTTGCTGTAATTGTTTCTTCAACTTAGTTTTTGTGTCTTATTCTTGTATTCGTGCCTCCATCTATTATTATCGTAGCTGATGTTTTTTCTTGTAATTATGTTATTAGTTCTTCAAGGGTTCTTAATGCTTGTTTATTGTTACTTTTAAAATACACTTTATACAAGGTGTCCCAGCTAACTCTGGCATCTCAAATATCTCGCTTGTTTTTCATGATAGAAAAAATATTAGAAGAAAAAGTTATTGTATCCGATGGGACACATATTCTGATTGGTAAAAATTTTGCTGAAGGTCATTTTTTTCGAAATTTCAAGGTCATCGGTGTTTTTTTTAAGTGGAACCATATATTTTTGTTATCATACGATAGTAGCTGAGGGCAAGGCGAGTTCATTGACCCATGACACTACGACNTAAAGAAAGGGCTTTAGGCCTCCCCTTTGATTTATTTTTTCCATATCCTCAGGGTTTTGTAAGAAATTTTGAATGATACAACAACTTAGTCCGAGTGTCTTCACAAGCTGTACTTAATTTTCTCCATTACATTTTAACTGTAGTATTTTAATCTTCTCATCCTCCGAATCCACTATCTTATAAAATAACTACAAACAAATAATTTCCATACAATAGACTTGCACAGATTTGCACACTTCGACGGTTTTCAATAGATTAATTCAACTGCCTAAACATTTTGTCCACTTGTCATTTTTAAAAAAATCAACTTCAAAGGTCACAGTGTTCCGAACTTTGTTTACACTAAGCATAGCGTTGAAACGAAGTGTCTCACTCATAATGTAGTTTATTCCTAACGATTTTGAGATTTTACCAAATGTATATTAAATATTTAGCGGTGCATTATCATTTTGTCCCCCAGTGTACTTCTTTCTATGAATGTTGCAGTTTGCTTCTTTTTCATTTCAGGTCCAGTTCCTGGGTGCAAGCTGTGCACGAGGACAGAAATGAGTTACTGCGAGGATAGTAGCGTTATAAATGATCACTGCTGCTGCGACGGCAGTTTCAACGGTAATTACAATTATTAATTTAATTATAATATCATTCACAAAGAAAGGAAAGTAAAAGTAGTATACTGACAAGTCGCAAAATAATGGGAGTACTCTTTAAGGAGGTAGATTCCGATGATACTGCTAATAATGTAGAACGTTAGCGTTACGGACTAATCGTAAGTTTCCTAAAAATATGGAGTTATGGGAATTGAGTTTTTTGGGACATATAAGGTTTTTAATTAGTGTGCATTGATGACAATGGCTCTAAATTTAAGTTAAGCTGTGGTCATGATAATGGGCCCACATTTTGGGGTCTTATCTGCTGGAACTTATTTTCGACCGTATTTTTGACGTTATTTTAGTGAATCTGTATTTTGGGGATTTGTTTCGGGTCTATTTCGACACTATTTTAGACATTTTTTAGCCTAGTTTTGGTCATTTTTGACGAATCATTTTTTTAGGCATTATTCCAGCTATTTTAGTGGGGTCCTTATCGTCCATTTTCGTAACGAATCGACAGTGCGAATCCACTACCTATCGTTCTATATTGACAAAATTTACTTTTAATACAACATTACACTGTGACACGAA